GAGACAACAAGGTGCAGGGCTGGATGAACACAGCAGGCCAAGCAGCATCATAGGAGCAGAGAGGCTGACGTTTCGGGCCTCGACCCTTCATCAGAAAAGGGGGAGGGGAAGGGGGTTTTGAAATAAATAGGGAGAGAGTGGGAGGCGGATAGAAGAGGGATAGAGGAGAGGATAGGTGGAGAGGAAACAAGCAGGTCGAAGAGGCGGGGATGGGGCCAGGAAAGGTGAGTGTAGGTAGGGAGTTAGGAAGGGGATAGGTCAGTCCAGGGAGGACGGACAGGTCAAGGGGGCGGGATGAGGTTGGTCGGTAGGAGATGGAGGTGCGGCTTGGGGTGGGAGGAGGGGATAGGTGGGAGGAAGAACAGGTTAGGGAGGCAGGGACGAGTTGGACTGGTTTTGGGATGTCCGTCCTCCCTGGACTGACCTATCCCCTTCCTAACTCCCTACCTACACTCACCTTTCCTGGCCCCATCCCCGCCTCTTCGACCTGCTTGTTTCCTCTCCACCTATCCTCTCCTCTATCCCTCTTCTATCCGCCTCCCACTCTCTCCCTATTTATTTCAAAACCCCCTTCCCCTCCCCCTTTTCTGATGAAGGGTCTAGGCCCGAAACGTCGGCCTCTCTGCTCCTATGATGCTGCTTGGCCTGCTGTGTTCATCCAGCCCTGCACCTTGTCATCTAAAGAATAATATCATGAAACTTCATTTGCATAGGTAAGACTTCTGAGTGATTTAGATGTCAAGGCAATTTGAACAAGGAAGGTGAACAACAAATTAGAAAATATAATCCATAAATAACATGGAACATCCATTATCAACACTCTGATTTTTGCAGAACAAATCTTTGCAAAATTGCTGGCATTTTGCCCTGCTTGACATGAATAGACTTATAAAGCCCATTGAAGATTATGTATATTTGTTATCCAATGCTTGCCATTTTCTATACCACATAAATAATGTCAACATTGGGAATTCCAAATTATGCACCAATTTCCATCCAAGGGAACAGAGACCTACCTCTATTATGATGGATAATTGTGATTCTTACTATGATTTTAAAATTATGCAACATGTAGCAATAATTCCAGTTTTGGGAATGGATCTCGGAAGCTGCAAAGTACAGAATTGAAATTCTTCTCTTGAAGGTATATATTTGGAAATCTGGCGCCATTTGACTGATCAGTGTAGGTCCATGCCGATGGTGTTATGAGCTTCATGGTTTAGCTGTTTTGATTACTGTGACTGTCAATTTACATTATATAAGCTGCCAGAAGAATAAAGCTGTAATGCAAACTATTGTTTATCCAGTTTCATTGGTACTGTTCTACAGCCCTCCGGACTCAATATTGAGTTCAATAATTTTAGGACCTAAACTCTCCCATGTCCCAGCCCCACACCCCACACACCAGGCCTTGTTACCACATAGCCTGCCACTACATACACGCTGTTGTTAGTCACTAACAGTCCCCATTAACAACTATTCACCCTCCCAGCCTGATCGTTAGCAACTCCTTGGTCTGTCCAACTGTCTTTCTCTCTCTTTGGGCTCTATCCTATCGTTTACTCCCTACCGCACCGACCTCCCTATTTTCTGCATATAAACTGACGTTTTCCCAGCCACCACCAGTTCTGAGGAAGGGTCACCGGACCCGAAACGTTAACTCTGTTTTCTCCTCCACAGATGCTGCCAGACCTGCTGAGCTTTTCCAGCAACTTTGTTTTTGTTCCTGATTTACAGCATCTGCAGTTCTTTTGGTTTTCATTGGTACTGTTGTTTGTTCAAATTCATTTTGTTACAGTTTAGAGTCTAAAGCTTTATTATTCGGGCAGCTTATATGATCCAATTCCTCAAGAATCATTTGTATTACCTGATTATTTAGAATACAGCACCTACCTTCAAGTATTCGCAGGCAGACGGTTGTCTGTTTGCAGGCAACAAAGGAGGGTTACAGTTAGATGCCTCAGATCTGGCAACTTCCATGTGGGATTTTGTTTCCAGTTGTGTTTAAACAGGTAAAGTGCTCAAGATATATTTTTCAATCAAGAATTATAAAGGACAGTTTTGAAAAAAGTAATGCTGCAAGACCAGTCAGGAAACGTTTTGGAGCTGCTTCAGTTATTTTGGCGGAAGTATGTCAGAAACTTTGTTAATGCATTTAGTTAGTGTTCCTACAGCATTACCATAAAGTGCTGGTGGAGGAGTAGGAGCAGCACCGAGGAATGTTCCAGCCATACAGTTAGACTGAAGAACTTGATGAGGAAGGAAAGTCAGATGATGGTAGCTTAAAGATATCCCCAGTTTTTGTACATACCCAGTTTTCAGATAGCTGGGTTTGAAACACTGAGTCTGTAGCTACAACAGAAAAGATTGCTATTGTAGGTAGCAACTTTCTAACAATTTATATTATGAAAACAGTTTTTATCTTTTAATCTTTTGTTTCAGTTGTGATATTTATTTTTCCCCTATTCTTTCTTCCTAATTTGACTCTCCCTGAGATCAACCATGTGCTTATTCCTAACAGAGATGGCAGGCAGAGAACTGGCTTCTAATCATTTATTCCTGCAGATATTCATGTGTATGCTGTAAGGCTCAAGAGAGAACTTGGCGAGACTTTGTTCAGATTTTCCTGGCTTCCTTGCAAAAGTAGCTGACCACATAAAGCTACACTTGTTTTGGGAATCTGAAATGTCATGAACCTTGTGTATGTAAATTATTTGCAGCTTTAAGTTTTAAAAAAAAAACATACTTTCCTCGACTTAAAGTATCATGTACAATAGCACTGCACTAATAAATATGCTACTGTTTAAAGATGCATTACCTTCATCTTTTTGTGTAGTGAATAAGTTATTACAATCTATATCTTTTATATGTTTTAGTGCTTTTTTTCTCTGTTATTTGTGATACTTCACTCTATTTTGTTTTTCGCAATCACTCCATTTTCGTGTAATTTTTCTTCCAGTACACTTTTTTTAATACAATTGGATAATTCAATTTTTCTTCTTAATACTGTCTAACTTAAGGCCCTGTTGCTTTTCGCTTTTGTTTCTCAGGGTCGGTATCATCCATCTGATTTGCTGTGTCCAGAAACATATGTCTGGATACCTATTGAAAAGTGTTGGACAAAGCTGGACCAGTCTAAGTATAGTCGTCTCAATGAGGACATAAATGCAGGTAGGTTACAGCCGAGCGGCCTTGTGGTAAATCAAGTTCCTATGGAAAACTATCTTCAGAATAACTCTTCTTAGTAATTTCACTATTCTCATACCAAGTAAATGAATACGGTGACATTAAAACTACTTATGAAGGAATTTAAACCTATGTTCTGTTTGTCTGCCTATAAATATTTTTATAAATAATTTTACAATTTTAATAATTTTGTCAATAAATTTATTTACAACCACCTTGTCTGTGATTGCAATTAAGCCTTGCTGTTGAATAGAAGTTTCTCCTTCATCCATTCGTCCACAATCCATCTAGTTTTAAGTCAAACAGTTCGATTGGAAAATAACAGCTCATGCATTTTATCAAATGACATATAGTGTCATTTAACCCGAGGTGGACAGGGTAGACCAGGTGTGTTGCCATAGCTTACACATGTTGGATTTTCTGGACAAAACAACATAGAAACTATGTGCTGGAATAGATCACCTGGCCCTAGGAGCCTACTCCACCATTCAGTATGATCATGGCTGATGCTCCGCCTCAGTGCCAATCACATCAACAATAAGTGTTTGCAGCTCAAACCTATTGGGCTAGAGTCTGAGATACATTCCAGCACAGTGAATCATCAGGACGGGGTGAGGTACCAGGACACTGAACAGGATTTTCCCTGCCTCCCACCCACCCCGTGTTGGACAAGAAGGCAGAGAGAATAGCATTGCACCATGTTGAGATAGCTCCCTAAATTCTGTTACTATGAAATTTTCTCGTGAAGGAAACAGAAGGACAAGGGAGCTCAGAGATAGTAAGAACTGCCGATGCTGGAGTCAGAGATAACACAGTGTGGAGATGGAGGAACACAGCAGGTCAGGCAGCATCAGAGGAGCAGGAACGCTGATGTTTCAGGTCGGGACCCTTCAGAAATGGGGCTTCAGAAGTGGGGCTTCAGAAATGGACATTATGGAAGTCATTGGAGATAGTGGCCTGATGGTCAGATAGGGAAATAGAGGCATGGTTGGTCCTCCTTAAACCACGGTGGGCTATCTAGTAGGGCTGCTTACATTATCCTTCTGGTTTCACTTTTTAAAATTTTTCCTTTCTGAGGTTGCCTCAAAATGGAGATGCCCTACTTGGATCTGCATTGCCCACTTCTCCCAGTGGGCCCATCACATCTTTAGAGCTGCTGGCCCCTGGCTTTACTTGGATCGCTGATCCACGTAGGGCATCTCCATTTTGAGGCAACCTATTGCGAGACTGCATCCAGGGAGAATGCTGGGATGAGTCCTGCTGCTAGGATCCCATCTGGTTCTGACATTGGTGTCCCTAAGCTTGCAGTAAAATTCACCCTTGGGTTAACTAATGTTTTAGAGTTGGCCAGTGTTTGGTAGCAGGAGGTTGTGACTGCGAGTTGGAAAGATACTGGAATCCAAGGTGTGGTGACGGAGGAACCTTGGTCAATATCTAGCAGTTACAAGGTGCAGTGCAGAATAAAATTGCCATCCTGCAGAAAGCCCTATAAATGGTGTTATTAGAAATAATTGGAGAAAGAAGAGCAAGATGTATATTTACATGGTGTTTTTTTTGAGCTTCAGGATATCCTAAGTACTTTATAGCCTATGAAGTACCTTTGAGATGGTTTCTATTTCAATGTGTAAAATATGGCAATCAATTTGCTCACTGCTAACTCCTACAAACGGTAATGTGTTGATGACCAGTTGATCTGTTTGTGCGACTCTGATTGAAAAATAAATATTGTCCAGTACTCTAGGGATAATTCTCTTGCACTTTGAAATTATGTCATGGGCTACTTTATGTCTGCCTGTATCGAGACCAGTAACAGTTTGAAGAAATTGAAACTCTCAGCCATTACAGAAAGAACTGTGCATAATATTTTATGTTTAAAACAAAAACTTCTGTTTAACTGTTACTCCTCATGAGGTAGTGCGTTGGAAATCTAGTCACATTATTCCCAGAGTTGTTACAAAAGTTAAAAAGTTTAATCAAAGTACATAAATTCCCCAATGTACCTGTTAGACAGACCCAGGCTAACAGGAAGAAAAAGGACCTCCTCTCTTAACAAGAACTGCATGTTTTGCAAAAAAAAATACTCTAACCAGAGGTGAAGAACTGTCAACGTACTGATAAAAATTCTTGCCCCCTCAGCGTGCATGCAAGTACACAGAAAAGCTGGCAAAGCAGTTCAATGGCTCTGGTCCGCAGGTTTTGTTGAGATGATCCTTTTACTTGCTAGAATTTTCCATTCTTAAATCTCTCTTCAGGTTCTTTACACTTGTTCCCAGGAGTCACAGGCAATTGGTACACTATCTGTAAAGTCTCTTAGTTACTGATTAAAGGCCACAGCTTACAGCAACTGATGAGGCAACAGAAACTGGTTTTCTTCAGGATTTTAGGTATGTTAGAGTAGAGAAAGACATACCATTTGCCTCTCACAGCAGTCCAAAAGCTTCTGCCAGCATTGTTCACATCCTCAAGCTGTTCAACTGCCTTAGACCCAATTAGATAGTTGTCAGGCTGATGGCCTTTGGCATTCACAACTGGCCGCAACTCCACAAGCCAATTGGCAACCTGTTGCCTGCTGAATGTCACTTTATACACATGCTCTGATGTTAGCCTGAATACTAGCAGCCTCCACCCCGCCCCCACTTCTTGAAAAAAAGCAAAATGCAAACATGACTTTCAATGAGTCTCAGTAACTTGGTTTTACAAATTTCAGCAATTCCTTCCACACCCCTTGTTTTAAAAGAGTACTTTTCCCATTTCAGTCCACAATCAAAAACACATAAACGTTAAAAGATACAGTCATTACAGTGGACCTCAAACAAAACAAGCAAAACTAATACAATATTTCAAAATCATTTATACTTTAAAACTAAAAAGGTCAATGGAACACTCCCAGTTCCATGTTTCTTCCACCCAGTGCTCCCCTGTACTATACAGGATCTTGAAAGCTGGTTCATCTTTTTTGGGACCAAACCAAGTTATGTCAGAATTCTCTGGAGTTCAGTTTGACTGTCTTTAATGTTCCAATTGTCTTCCAAGTTTTGAGATTTCTTGAGGTTTTGTACTAGCATCTGTTCCATTGGAAGGGCTCCACTTAAACTGGACTGGGATTAGTGTCCTGGTGAATTGTATAACTAGAACTGTCAATAGGGCTTTAAATTAAAAGGCAGGTAGGGTGATGGCGAATGTCGAAATCTAAAGCAAAAAGTCAAGGCAGAAAACATTGTAGTGATTTAAGTAAAGACAAGTGGAGTAGGGCCGGAAGAGACTGTGTTTAAAAATAACAGTTAATCAGCAAATATGGTCCATGCAAAGTAGATTGACAAAAAAAGGCCCCTTATGTAAATGCACAAAGCATTTGTGATACAACTAAGTAGCCGCATAAATAGAGATAGACGGCTTTGATCTAATGCTGTTACAGAGACATGGTTACAAAATAAACAAGAGTGGAATAAAATGTCCATTGTGTACTCCAGACAGGAAGAATGGAAAAGGAGGAGCAGTAGCTGTGATTGTAAAAGATGACGTACGGACAATCGTAAGAAAGGATCTTTGCTCAGAAAATTAGGAAGGTGAATCCACAAGTGTGGAGATTAGTAATGGCAAGTGTCATAAAACACTATAGCAGGCTTAGCAGCTCCCCCAGTTGTAATTACTTCATTGGACAGAACATTATGCAAAAGATTATTGGAAATTGTAACAAAGCCAATGTAATAATTTTTGAGGATTTGAATCTTCATATAGTCTGAACAAATTAAATTGGCAAAGATAGTTTGGAGGTTGTGTTTGTAGGTAGGTTGCTTTCATGACGTTTTCTAGAACAACAGTCTGTGTGACTAACTTGAACAATGCTATTTTAGTTCCAGTATTATGTAAAAAGGCAGAATTAATTACTAATTTTGAAGTAAAACTCTGAGGAAAAGGTTATCATCATACAATTGAATCACAAATTAAATGTACAAGGGATGTACTTGAGTGCAAAACAAGAATCTTAAACAAAATTAATTACATAGGAATGACTGAGGTTTGTTGGTTAAAAGGATGTTATTAAATAAACAGAGTGAAACGTTTAATCAGATAATTGAAAAGTTTAGCAAAAATACATTCTATTAAAAAAACAACTCAGTGAAAAATATCCATTCAGTGTTTTTGAAGAAAGTTAAGGGTAGTATTAGATTGCAATAAAATTCTTATAATGTTGAAAAGAGGAGAACTAAGCTTAAAGTTTGGGAGAATTTGAAGAAACCAGCAAAGGACACCAAAATGTTGTTAAAAAGGTTGGGGAATAGGGGTGGGGTTGGGGGGGGTGGTGTGGCGGTGGCGGTGGTGGTGGTGGTGGTGGGGACGGTGTGGAAGTTAAGTAGCTAGGAAAATAATAACCTTTTGTCAAAGCTTTTACGGATATATAAAAAAAGAAGAGAGTAGCTAAAGTTACATTTGATCCCTTTAGAGACAGAAGCATGAGAAGTTACCAAGAACTGTTAGGAAATGGCAGCATTGATTAAATATTCCACTTTTTTTATGTATTTACAGTAGGAAAAAGATTTGAATACCAGTAGTTTATTATCAGCAGATAAATCTTTTAAAGAAAATTAAGGTATGAAAAGATTTCTAATGATATTCATTTGAGAAAACTGAAATGAGTATCTGCAGCAGTCCTGCAGCAGTAGTGGTTTGATAGTGTGTTTCTCCAAAATTTCATGGGCTTTAGAATGATCCCAGCAGATTGGAAAAAAACAAATGTGACAGTGCTCTTCAAGAAAAAGGAGAAAAAGAAAATAGATAACTACACTTGAATTATCCTGATACTGGTTGTTGGAGAAATGCTGTCATCTATTATTAAGGAAGGTGTCAACATACATTTAGAAAATCATGGTATGATCAGAGAGTCAACATGGGTTTGCGACAGGACCAAAATTTTCATTAGTTTCAGTTGAAAGATGTTTGATAAGGAGTCACATGAAATAACTGAGCAGAAGGTAAGGATTTTC